TGTTGCTATATTCTAGAATGTGGACTTCAACTCTCCGGAAGGCTGATTTACTGCTGCTCACCCTCTGTCATCTTACCAGGTATCCTCTCAACAAGACTTCCTCCTCCTCCTCCTCCTCCTCTTCTTCTTCTTAATAATTAACCTTAATATTTTCCTTGCCATAACTTCTTGCTAGCTCTTTTGGTGTGAACTCTAGAGGAATAAATAAAAAGGGTCAGAAGATTGTTTGAAGTGTCCCAATCTGTAATGTCCATCGTTCATTTGGTCAGTCAACATTCATTGGACGTCTATGTGAGACCTGAGAATGTTCTACACACCAGGTTGGCAGAGATGCCTAGGAAAGAGATTCTGCTCTCAAGCTTGGGGGGAGACACGATCTGCAAAAACAATTTCAGTGAAGCCAGGGGACCCCTGACAAAGTGGAACATTAGGATACTCAGGCAGCACAGAGGAGAGGCAGTGAGTCCAGGATCTGTGCATCAAGGCCGAAGTAATTGCAAACATTCGCTTTAACTCAGTTCGCCCCTCCCAGGAGCCTCCTGTGTGGCTACTTCTCAACTGTATCTTTGCTCATCACTCTGGCTCTTGCTTCTCTGCCTGGAGTTCTTGTTGTTGTGAAAGGGTTTTGGCCCAGACAGGACACTGTAGCCAGGAAAGCCTCAACCAGAAGCAGGAAGCCCCTAGGAATTTACCTGTGACGCCATCTTCCCGCCCCTGGGAATTTACATATGGCGCCAAACCTAGGACCAACGGGCTACCTGTGCATCCCTAATGCCCGCCTTAGGTTCCACCCCAAACCCAGGCTACTTACATACCCCCGCGCCACGTGTCCGCAGGAGAGAGCCCTGGTCGCCAGCGGTGGGGAGTGCCGGTCATCTCTCTCCGTGTTCTCAGAATAAAGGCCGCTTTTGTTTTATACTTCTCATCTTTTGGAAATATTTTTCATCTTTTGCAAACAATCCTATCAGTTGTTACTCAGGTTTTGTATTGGCTTTAATCATGAGGACTCCACCAAACATTTCAAATACATCATTGGGTTTTACCCTTATGAACACTGTGAGTTTAAGCATCACTAGCTCCATTGTACAGGGAGCATAACTCATGTTCAGGGACGTTATGTCTTTTGCCACAGTTACTAGTAACAGCTGGTAAATTTCAGGGATTTATTGTGAAATCTGGGTTATTTGACTTTAAATTTCCTTCTCGTAATTACTAACGTATATACATTGTATTTTTGCCTCTAAATTCATTAATCTGCATAAATCATAAAGTCTATGCTTACAACTTTGAATGGCAAATCGTCATCCCCACAGATGTGAGGCGATATCTCATTGTGCATTTCTATAATGAGCAGTATCTATTCTAGTCATGCCACAAGTATTGTCTGAGTACCTACTTCTTGTCCAGTTACTTCTAGGTACAAACAATTCTGATGAAAGTTGGATATATTTCAACCTTAAGTTTGTTGGGAGGAGGCAACTGAATAATCATATGTCAATTACTTTTTCAATAATAATGAGGGTGGCCTCAAAGGTTTTTGTTTGTTTGTTTTTTGAATGAAAAGAAGAATAGGTGGCTGGATAAATGAGATACACTCCAATTTTTCTTCTAAGTACTTTAATTGTTGGACATAACCATCTTATATATTTAAATAAATCTTCCAACTATATTAAAATGAACATAAAATTTGGTAAAAGACTTCTTCTCCAAACAACAATAGCATTGTCTTCATACAACTCTTATCTCTTCAATATTTTAAATTTAAGTCAACACTCCTTAAAAGAATCACAAATGTGAATATTAAACTCATCCATTAGATTATTTAGTATGCTGTAGTTCTTTAAATAGTAAAATGTTTTAAACAGTAATTATAGGCTTTCTTGACATGAAATAACAACATAGGTGTAGTTTAATCTTCATTCCCAAGCCTGAATTTGATCTTTGGTTTGATGTTTTAAGACAATCACTTAAAAAGAATTCTGTTAGCCATGTTCAGGGACTCTAGATGCATATTGATTGGAAAGATATCTGAAAGAGCTGTAAGATTCTCTTTATCTTATCCAGGCCCTTTTCTTTTGAACCGTGAGTTTAAAAATGCATGAATGAGGTGGAAGCTGCCATTTTTCTCATTGGGTGTGTGTGTGTATGTGTGTGAAGTCTCCATGGGACACAATCAAGTCAAAATTTAATGAAATTGATAGACAAGCAGTAGACAGAATTGGAAAGTTGGATTCTTGACTATGCTGAGTCTCTGATACAGCCAGACCTGAACCCAGACCCATTGTGATCTTCTTTATTGTCTGTCCCCACACATTTCTCATTTGGCCTAAATTTCACTTTGATTTTCACCATTTTTAAATGGGAGCATCTTGGCACATTTTTTCTTCATTGTTAGATATTATCCTCTTCTATCCTACCAAATCTTCAGAAAACATCTTTTACCTCAAATAACCTCTCCTGTGCCTCAAGAATGAAGGGGAGAAGTCTAATGTACCAAAATTGTGGGGAGTTAGACACCAGTAGCAGAGGCAGAATGAAGGGATGATGGAGAACTTTGCAAAATTATAGGTAAAGAACAAGGGTTACCCAGAGATCTGGGGCTTTCTAAAATTGGGAAGACATTAAACTTTCCATGGTTTGTGGCATATAAGGTCAAGATCTTTTGCTTGGGAATGAAAGAGAGCCTCCAAGAAAGCTCAGATGTCTGGATGGGATTTCCATACTTTTTACTGAAACATAAAGTTTTAGCTTCTGAGGTCATCATAACTTTTTATCATAAATATAGACAAAATTATTAGCCATAGTAAGGGAAGAAAAATCGGGAGGAGACAGGCTTGAGGGTAACCCATAGACCCTAAGAAGGAAAGGTCTGCATCCAGATGCAGTGCAGAGGAATCTCTCTTTTCCTCTCTTGACCTGCATTCATTTTTCCTTCTGGAAGTAGCACTGTCATGTTTCTTTGGGGGACAATTCTTTATCCTTTTCTAGTTCATAAGATAGGGATGACCCACCTCTGGGTTTTGTGGAAGCCTAGTAATTCAGCCCATTTCACTGAGAGCTAAGCATGTTTGTAACTCTGACAATTGGGTCAGGAATAAGCCTCCTATACCAACTAAAACAACAAGACTCAAACCTTTTGTTAGAGTTTTGGAAAAGGAAATTTCTCTGCAGCTGAACTAGTTAATGCTAGATCTACCAGGATCTATCACAAGGGACCACAGTGGGACAGGGGAGGGAAGCCTCTAGGAGAAAAAAGATGACATTAAGAATGTACGGATCCAAGAGATGGACAGGGAGATTTCTTGCAAAAGCTTTGGAAACCTTTGACACATCCATACCTGAAATCAGATTCCTCTATATTTTTCAGATAGAGAATACTGTCTCTTTTACCTTTCTTGTTCCTTTACCTTTCTATTGCTTTGCATGTAAAACTCAAACATGTAAAATAAGTTGGGTTTTACACTTTTGAGAATTACACTTTGCCTGTAAAAGGTGGCATTCTGACCAGCACTGAGACGGGAGGCAGAGGCATTACACTTTCTTTCAATATACGGTAGTATATTGAATTCAATATATGGTAGTATATTCCACCCTCCACTAGAGGGTGGAATTTACTCGCAACCCTAGAAGCAAGGAACATAAATGCCTGTTAGTACTTAAGAGACCTGTTGGGACAGACCAGCGTCTCAGTCCTAGAGTTCACACTCCTGAAAGGGATTCCTTTCAGAAGTGCTGGGAGAGCAGTGTGCTGGGTCACCAGAGCATGGCTGTAAGCATAGGCAAGTCAAAAGTGTTAGGGTGCTATTTGGATATTTCATGTCGAGAAGCAAGAAACTTCCTTAGTCTTGAAAACAAAAGGGTAAGGGCAGGAATGGCAAAGAGATTTTATCTTTCATGCCAAATCTGATGGTAAACCATGCCTCAGCTGCTTTATTGAGGACGACTTTGGGGCCACATGCAGTTCAGTGCAGGGTGCTGCCTTTAGTTACTGACATGTGTTGTAGGCATGGAGAGGAGGAGGAAGGATGGGTGTAACAGCCACTCATCTCAATGAGATTTTTTTCATAATAACAATGTTCACATTTTAGATGACTCAGTTCTTCACTAAGAAGGATTCTCCAGTACATTGCAGGGCCTTTATACACTTAATGCTAGTGGGACTACTGTAAACATTGTGGCAAGTATAAATAAAGCAAGAAACAGTATATTGTTAACAAGTGCAACATGTATCATGTCCTCTGCTATGGGGTACTCCAGGCACACACCAATAGTTGAACATGTTGAGTTTATTATGTATTGTAACCTGAGAGAATGCCCACCCTGAGAACATAGGGTATGTTGATGAGAAAGTATTTCTCATAAGATTCGGGATCATTAGGTCAATTTTGAGGAAAGTGTAAGGAACAGAGACTTTGCTTTGCATGATGTTTCAAACAAATGAGAGTAATCTTGTAATTGGATCTTTGAAGTTCTCATTTAGAAGGAGAGAAGGCAACTGCAAAGAAACAGCAAACATTTGTATTAGTCTAGATAAAGGGATGTCTAGTATTTTGTGGCTTGGATAATGTTCATTTTTGCCTGTGTCCAGATATGATCTTGGTATAGTATTTGTGCTGTGTTTCATCAGAGTCAGAGTGGCTTTTTCAAATTTTATGCAATTGTTAATCTTGAGCAGGAATATCAAAGCCCAAGTACAGGCCAACCTGTGCCAAGGCCAAGGTGAACTCCTGTATATCATAGGTCATTTTTATCTTCATTATATTTTATATTATTTAATAATCACGTGTTTTCCTGCTTCCTTGTTCAGTTAGAAACTTCACAAGTACAAAAATCTGTTTTAGTTGGCACTGAAAGCCAAGAATCCAGTCACATGTCATATCTCATGAGACTTTATTGACTAAATTATTGCATTGTTCAATTAGCCTATTAAACTGTGAGTTGGCAAATTCAAAAGCTACTTTCTATCCAGTTTTGCATGTCTTCAATAAAACACTTACACATCTTATGAAATATATCCCAAGTCAAAGGAGACTCCCCTGGGGTAATATTTATTGTTTCAAAAAATAAGACAATACAATGAATTTCACTTTGTGAAGGAAAGATAATGCTTAGTTCAGAAGGTTTCACTTGTGATGACTGAAGGAAACTGTCGTATTCGGTTCAGGATTTTTTCTGCACGTTCCTCTGTGTTGAATTCTGAGAGTACCATTCAGAGCTCTAAAAGAAATTGATAGACATGGTTAGAGATCATTTTTATGAAATATAACCTGTCTTCCTCTTAATAGATTTTAGGAGATGGGAGTCCTTGATTTGTAAACTTCTGACTTATAAACATTCCCTAGCTACAAAGGTTTCCTCTCACCTCACCACACCCTTTCATGTGGGATGCTCCACCGCGTGTAATCATGCTGAAGACTATCGGTGTGCTTAGCAAATGTGCAAACTTACATGTTACAAAGTAGACGTTAATGGCTTGCTGAGACACTTTGGAGAAATCTTTTTACTTCCATGAATCAGGACTAATGTGTCTGTAAAAGGCTTGTAATTCTGAGTTACTGCTGAGATAGACTGGGATTTTTAAAATTTTACTTAAAGAGAAAAACAAAAAAGGGTACAAGTAATACCGAATTTGAAAAAAAATAAACAGTAAGAAATTACTAGTTAATAGATTACATATTGTCATCTTAGAAATAGTTGTTCAAGTTACAAAATTAAAGCATAAAAAGTGGGCATTCAAACAGTGAGACTGCAGACAGTTGTGTTCAATGATCCAACAAAAACTTAGTAATATGGTCATCTATCTTACACATTTAAACATACATGCAGTTGTATCCTTTAGAGCACTTTCTTTTCCTCTCTTTTTTACTGTAACAATTACACATTTTGGGTTTTACTACTCCCACACTTATTACATTTTTTTTTGGAAGAGAATAAAACCAAATGTGACAAAACAGAGTCAGTCAAAACAAAGGATGGGCATCGTACATGAGGTAAAAACAGAATACAAAGTGATCAACAATGGTTACCATAATGCCTCTTGCTACCTTAAAAAGAATTGCCTATATCATCAGGTATAATAAAATTGAAAAAAACAGTACAGAACAAAACCAATAAAACCGAAACATTGGAGACATTACAGGACTTCAAAACAAGATAATAGTCAAACCAGAATGGGCATCATAGTGAATCTTATTGCCTTCAGGGTAGTGGCCTATACCCTCAAACTTGATACTATCAAACAAAACAGAAGAGAGTAAGATCAGTCAAAATAAGATAGTGAGAGCAATACAGGGGTTCAAATCAAGTTAATAGGAAATAAAAAACGTTACTATATCTTGCTATTTTTATTTATTTTTTCCCTTAATTAAAAATAATAAAATTTTAAAAAGGACATTGAGATAAAAGAGGACATAACATAACAACACAGGTCAGAACAGAAAAATTTAAGCAGCATAGTGTTTCACCACAAGATACCTGACATAATAGTAGTTATCATAATGTCTCTTTCCTTGAAATATTTGAGTATAATTTCATATACTATAGCATCAAATATATCAAGACAGTGTGAAACCATTAAAGAGAATTGAAGTATTACAGGGTATTTAGAACCAACTAACAGAAAGTGAACAATGGTTTCTAAATTATCTCTTTGCCTATAAAATTTTTTTATACTATCACATATAATAAAATCCAATAAGATGCAACATGATAAAACCAATGGAGACAGAAGAACAATAGCTTGATGGGACTTCAAACAAGATGATATTAAATCAGCACTAGCTATCATGATATCTTGTTTTCTTCAAAATGGCTGTTCATACCATCACAGACAATAAAATCAAACAAACCAGAATAAAACCATTCCAATTAATGAGTGAAAACATTATAAAGCTTCAAAACAATGTAATGATTACCACATAAGTTTATGTATTCTTACCATTTCTTACACTAGGGAGACTATTTGGTATTCATACATGTGAGCTTGATTTATTTCACTTATGAGTATGGTCTCAAGCTGTGCCCATTTATTTATAAATATCTCAATGTGATCATTCTTTATAGCTCAGTAGTATTCCATTGTATAAAATTACCACAACTTTTTTATCCACTCCTCAGGTGATGAACACTTAGGTTGTTTCCAAGATCTGGCTATTACAATTTGTGCTGCTATAAACATGGGTGCACATATATCACTGTGGTATGATGCTTTCAGTTCTTCTGGGAATATGCCTAGAAGTGGAATAGCTGGAACAAATGGGACTTCCACTCCTAGCTTTTGGAGAAATCTCCAGACTGACCTCCAGAATGGCTGCACCAGTCTACACTCCCGCCAACAGTGCAGGAGAGTTCCTTTTTCCCCACAGCCTCACCAGCATTTGTTGTTGTTGGTTTTCTTGATCCTGGCCATTCTTTCAGGAGTGAGATGAAATCTCAATGTGGTTTTAATTTGCATTTCTTTAATGAGTAATGATGGTGAACATTTTTTCATGTATTTATTTGCCATTTGTATTTCTTCATCTGAGAAGTGTGTATTCATCTCAGATGACCATTTTTGGATTGGATCTTTGAATTTTGGGGGTCTGATTTTTTTGTAATTCTTTGTATGTTTTAGACAGAAGTCCTTTGTCTGAGGGGCAGTTCACTAAGATTTTTTCCCAGTTTGTGGGTTTTCTTTTCACTATGCTGGAGATTTCTTTTGATATGCAGAAACTTTTTAATAAGAGGTGATCCTAGTTATTGATTCTGGGAAGTATTTCCCGTGCAGTTTGATTCCTGTTCAGGAATTCTCTACCTATTTCTGTGTCTTCAAGGTTTTTACCCAATTTGTCTTCCAATAGATTTAGTATTTCTGTTTTAATATTCAGATTTTTGATCCATTTAGATTTTAGTTTAGTACATGGTGATAGGCATGGGTTTAGTTTTAGTTTTTGGCATATGGAGAGCCAGTTTTTCCAACACCATTTATTAAAGAGACTGTCATTCTTCCAGTGAACCTGTTAGGCTTCTTTACCAAAGATAAGGTGGTTGAGTGTGTTTGTAGTTATGGTTGTATCTTCTAATCTATTCCATTGATCTTCGACTCTGTTTTGATTCCAGTACCATGTTGATTTTACTACGGTTGCTTTGTAGTATAACTTCAAGTCAGGGATTGTGATGCCTCCTGCCTTGCCTTTGTTGCTTAGAAATGTCTTTGCTATTTTAGGTCTCTTCTTGCTCCAGATGAATTTTAGGAGTGATTTCTCTAGATCTATGAGGTATGTTGATGGTATTTTTTTATCAGGATTGCATTGAATCTGTTTAACAGTTTTGGGAGAATGGCCATTTTCACGATATTTATTCTTCCTATCCATGAGCAAGCGATGTCTTTCCATTTTCTGAGATCATCTTCAATTTCTTTTTTCAGTGTATTATAATTTTCCTTATATAGATCTTTCACTACTTTCGTGAAAGTAATTCCTAAGTATTTCATTTTTTTTTGGTACTAGTGTGAAGGGTTTGGTTTCTCTTAATTCTCTTAATTCTTTGTCAGTGATTTTGTTGTTAGTGTAGAGGAATGCTAATGATTTTTGGGTATTGATTTTGTATCCAGCTACATTGCTGAACTTATTTATTATATCTAAGAGTCTTTCAATGGAGTTTAGGGGTCTTCTAGAGTATAACGTCATCTGCAAATAATGATAATTTAACTTCTTTTTCTATCTTTACTCCTTTTATTTCTCTCTCTGTTTAATTGCTCTAGCTAGTATTTCCAGTACTATATTAAGTAGGAGCATAAGGGACATCCTTGATAAGGGACATCCTTGTCTTGTGCCTGATTTTAAAGTAAAGGTCTTCAATTTTTGGCCATTTCATATGATACTTGCTGTTGGTTTGTTATAGATGGCCTTTATTATATTGATGTAAAGGCCATCTATTCCAATTTTCTGTAAATTTCTTATCATGAATGAATATTGGACCTTATCAAAAGCTTTTTCTGCATCTATAGAAATGATCATGTGATTCTTACTTTTTGCTCTATTGATATGGTGGATTACATTTATTGATTTACATATGTTGAACCATCCCTGCATGCCTGGGATGAATTCCACTTGGTCATGGTGTATGATCTTCTTGATGATTTGCTGCATCCTATTTGCCAATATTTTATTAAGGATTTTTGCATCTGTGTTCATTAGGGAGATCGGTCTATATTTCTCTTTTATAGTTGGGTCTTTCTCAGGTTTTGGTGCTAGAGTAATATTTGCTTCCAGGAATGACAGACTGTTTTGAGGCTCACCTCAAAGTTGCTCTATGCTCTGCAATGGCCCTGATGGCCAAGAACAAGAGTATGGAAAACATAGGTGAATAATACTTGCCTTCATTAGCAGAAACATAATGAGAAATCAATTACTATATTTTATACTAAATTATGGTTGGTAGACTTTTGTTTGTATATTTAATACAAAAGTGGTCCATTAAAAATTAGCAATAGCAATTTAGGAGCTACTGTGAAATGACTGAAAACATTGTTAATTTTCTGTAAATACTTCCTATTTAACATTGAGCAAGGTAATTATTTTAGAGTTTTTTTGTTTTTTATATGTAAAAACGAGTATCTCTTCCCCGCCCACCATACAGTATTGGTGTGGGTCTCATAAGGGGCCTGTTTTGGAAGGTATTTTCTAATAGTGGGAAGCTTATAATCACATATAATCAAAAGTAATAGTCTGAAAGTGATAGTAGTTTGTTTGGCTTGCTTTTACTGTTGCTTTGTTTATGTTTTCTCTGCATCTACTATAGCATTTGTAACTTACCAGATGTTCATTAAACACTTCCTCTTACCCTAATTGTATCATAATAGGATTTTACAGAAAAGGAGTCTTTGATTTTTAAACAAAATTTGAAAAAATGATTTGCAGTCTGGGGATCAAATCCAAGGCCTTACAAGTTGAGAAAGAATTCTACTACGGTAGTACTGAGCTACAGCTACAGTAAATTGTGTTTGAGCAGTCCTAAAATTATGTAAAATACAAAATTCTAACCATATGATAATGGGTTCTGGGAATCAAATTTCCAGATTTGTTTCTTTATTTCTCCCCTTATAAGCTACAATGGTTAGCTAATTTCCTAAATCTCTCTACGGTTCTGTTTCACCATATGTAACATGGAAAGTGGTACCAATACTTAGTTACATTATTTTGAATATTGAATGAGATTATTCCTATGTACTGACAAGCACAACAAATGGAATAAAATAAATGCTACTCTAAAATTAGTTGTATTTATATATTTCAAAAATATGTCTAACTATTCCTTTTTTATTTTAAAGAGAAAGAACCGAAAAATCAAGAAGCAACTAAACAACAACAGCAAAAGCAAAATGATGATGACAACAGCAATAGCAACAACAGACAATGCTGATATAGGATTTCAAAACAAGATGATGGGAATTTAACAGTGGGTGTTATATTGCATACTGTTATGCTCAGAATAATTACTCAAGCTACCAGATACAGGCATGCAAGATTGATCAAACAATGTAATTTCCCTTTGAGCAGTTTCTTTACCTTTTACTTTATCTATTGTAACTTTTAAATCGTATTTACTCTTTCAGTTTCTTACAGTAGCAAGACAATATGGTGTTTACACATGCATGTCTGATTTCTTTCACTTATGAGTATGTATATTTTATTTCTTTTTTAATATTTTTTTATTAATGTGTTACAAATATATTTGGTTCAAATCTGCTCATACTGTATGTATTATATGATATCTTTCTTTATAACTTAATATTATGTTGTTGCACTTAGAAAATTTGATATGTGATGTCTATGGGATATTAAAAATGCATGCACAGGACTGAGGAGGTAGCTCAGTGGTAAAGCATTTCTTTAAGATGTGCAAGACCCTGGGCTTGATTCCTGTCACAGCAAGAAGTAAATACAATATTTAGCAAAAAAGAATGAACTTTATGCAAAACAGAACCAGAGCTCTTTGGTGTGCTTAGGTATATCAAAGTTGACTGTTTCAAGAGGCAGAAACAAAGCACTATAAGCAGAACCTAAACTAGGACCTAAGTGATGGAGGAAGGTGTTAGCACAGTTAGTGTTAACGTCTCCCTGCGCCTTATGATGAAAATGATACCCCCCAAGTTGTAGATGCCTTGATAGCCTGAGAAGACAGCATCTATAGGCTAGAGGAGATAAGTGTGACATTTGGGGTGTCGGATAATTCTTATGTTTGAACTCCTGAAATGGTAGGCATGAGAATCAGAAGGGACCTTTCAATGGTCCTGAGATGGAGAGAAAACAGGCACTTGTGCATAAGTGTACTAAACATCAGCGTGCCTTACACAGGGATATTTCAGGGGCAGCTCCACGATGGCAAGAGAGAAGCTTTTGTTTGAGAAATCTGCACTTCTCTCAGTAATCTTTGAAGATGGTAAGAACTCTTTGGGAAATAAAAATATTGGGAAATACAGTATTTCTTGCCAGTAAAGTCAATGGGCACTGGCACATTGATATTTATTGTGTTACTATACACAGTAACACAACTATGTTTACTGATTGTTTCATAGAAAGTATTAATTTCAAATATTCTATAAAACATTGAAATTATCTATAAGGAGAACTTAATTTTTTCCTAGAGTTTTACTTCTATAATGATAGTGTTGAATAGATCTGTACATTATTCTTTGACAAGACCTTTAACAAGGCATCCAGAATATCCAAACTGAAAAAGAACATAATCAAAGAAATCATACCTTTTGGTTTCTAAATTTAACAGGAAAAGCCTATGGTAACTAAGACAATATGGTGTTAATATGAAAACAAACATATACATTAATGGAACTGGAAGTCCAGAAATAAACATTGATTTTCAATTGGAAGTGCTAAGCCAATTCAACAAGCACAGTATTTCTTTTAACATGTTATTAGAATAGCTACACAGAAAATAATGAAATTATGTTTCCTACCTCATGTCATAAACAGGAAATAAAAGCCAAACCTCATACCCCCCCAACCCCCCCAAGAAAACAACAATCTGGAGAGAGACACAAAATCTAAATGTAAGATCTAAAACTCTAAAATCAGAATACATGCATAAGTCTTCCTAACCTTGGGTTAAGCAATAGCTTCTTAGCTATGACACCAAAACACATTGCCTATGTTTTTGAAGGCATCACTATTAAAATGAAAAGGTGATCCACATAATGAAGAAAATAACTGGAAATAAGCATTTGATATGGAGCTTGTATTCAGAATACATAAAAACTTGTAATTTAATAATATAAAGCAATGAAATAGAAATTGAACAAAGAATTTAAATAAGCATTTCTCCAAATAAGATATACAAAATGATAGTAGCTCATGAAACAACATTGTTGGTAACTAAGGAAGTATAAGTCATAACTATGAGGCATCTCTTCATATCCTTTAATATGGTTATCATCAAGAAGGTGGGTATAATAAAAAGATGGATAGCAACAAGTGTTGGTGAAGATGTGTTGTAGTTGGAACTTTCAAATATTGCTAGTGTTATTATAAAGGTTTGCAAGTGTTCTGGAAACCAGCCTGGCAGTTTCTCAATATGTTTAACCTAGACTTAACATTAATCCCAGCAATTCACTCATAGGTTCAGTCATGAAAGAGCAGGATGTGTTTAGAAAAATAATTGTATATGAATGTGATAGTAGTGGCAGTTGGAAAATTCTGCAAGTACATTAAAGACTACTTGCACTTGAAAGGAATAAACTCATTATTTATTCTTCTATTGAAGTTAAAATCCTAAGGATAAATTTTTAACACCAAGAGGTTATTTTTATTTTCATCTAAATTCCCTTCTGTTCATTCTTAGTATTTACTTAACTCTACATGTTTTGAGATCTCAGTGAAGGGGCTTCAGCAAGGAAGAAAGTGGAGAGCTAATCCCAAACTTGGGATGAATAGGAATCCTCCTGCCTCCCAGGGAATCCAGCTGCATGAGTCACTGAATTATGACCACAGTGGAGTCATTTAGAGGCCTAGGAGATAAAAGTCTTGAGAGGGTCTGGAAGATGTTGTTGTGCTGACTGAGAGTAATTATGGCGTAGGTTATCTGATCCTACTGAAAGAAATACAGTAATTATGGAATGTACTGTACTAGCGGGTAGTGAAAATGAAGGCATGTTGATGCCCAAACATTCTGATTTGTCTGTGACTGCTCTAATATAGTATTCAAAGAATCACATCCCTGGAAAACCCTCAATCCCACGGAAGTTGGTATGATTGGACCTCTAACTGCTAGCAACATAAGGTCACTCATGCTATTATTGACTAAGGGCCTGCTATACGACAGGCACTATGCAAAGTCTCCTTTATGCAATATCTTTTAAATATGCATAAGTGACCTCTCAGGGAATTCCAGAGCTTAAGCCATCTGTCTTAAATCATGCTGTTTAACAGAAAAGCTGAGATTACAATGTTTACAGTCTTCACTCTTAATCACATACATCATTCTGAGAGACTGAGCCAAAAGAACAAATGGTAAATTTTAAAAATTATCTCTAAAGGGTGCTTTAATTTTACAAACATATTTTACATTCATCCTTCCTGAGAACCATCTGACATATTTACTTAGCATCCTTGCCAGGGGCTTATTTGACAGTGACACTGTGCTTAATGCTGGGAATACAGTAGATACCTACTTCATAAGCTAAACTATGATACCAGGACATAAATGAACAAATAGAAGATTAAAATATCTGGAGTTATGATAAATATTAAGAAGGACAGAGAAGGGAGTTAATACAGAAAATACAGAGGTAAGTTTACTGTAGGCAGTACTGTCAAGGAAAACAAGGCCAGGTACTGTATATTTGGGCTGAAACCTAAATTTTAGAAAATGCAGTGGTCTTATAAAAAGCAGGAGGAAATCAGCTGGGCCAAATTTCCCAAAGCAGGGAAGAACTTCATATATTTGAAAATATCAGGAAAGAAGAGTCATTATGGGTGCAGCATTTTTGGTTAGTGAAACAGAAGTACAGCTTCAGATTTGCAGCTAAATTTGCATTTTGGAAAGGCTGGGAAACTTCTCCAATATCACTCAGTATCAGGGGCAAGATTTAACTCAGGTTCTTCCGACCTTGGATACGAAGACTTATGGCTTTAAGAAATCTTGTAAAGGGTAATGTTTCTTGAAGCTAAGATTTTCAAAGGTTTTAGAAATAAAATCTGTTTTCCTCCCCAAACAGATCTTATATTGAAACTCGTGTTCAAAGGTGAGACAAGGAAGCCACTCTGCTGGATGTGGAGCTGGCAGTCACACTGCCGTTTGTTTACTCCTGACATCCTCATTTGTCTCCGGCTCAGCCTCATGTTACATCATTTTTAGTTTATAGAATCACATCTTAAGGTTCTTCAAAATAATAAACACCAGTCAGCTGCTATTGGTCATCTACACACCCAGATTCTCAATAGAGGGGTCTGGATTTCGTGCAGGGGCTCACTTACATGTTGGCGAAGCAGTACACGCAGGAGTTGGAGTAGGTCACATTGTTGGAGGCGCAGAGTGGGCTGAATCGTATGGAGCATATGCGTAGTCGGAGTTCCTTCTCCTCTTTGTAGTGGTCACAGGAAACGATCTAAAACAAAGCTTACAGGTCACATCCTCTGCCTTGAATATTCTTCTGATACAAGTTGTTGGGTGTTTTATTTGTGCACAGAGAAGATCACATTGAAATAAAATGTCATAAATCTCAAACATCAAAACTATGTTATAAATTTAGTTACCAGGACCTTCAGGATTACCATCTTCTAGGGTAATTGGGATTATGTCGTCCAGACAACTGGTGAGGAGCAAAGGAAACCATTATAAACATGTAGTTTAAGAATTGTAACTGCCTTGGGAATGACCAGAAGCCTTGTTCAGGTGCTTCGGAAATGACTTTGGTTCTCACTCTCACTTTTGTTCTGTAGTCTGGAACTGTACTCTGGCATGAGTGGTGGTTTAGTCTTCTGGTGTTTAGGCTTCTGGAGCCATAAGGTTTTTTCCTAATTATCTCCCCATCATATTTGCTTTCCTTTGTATTATGAGTCGAACTAAACCGGATTTAGACAGTTGAGAATAATTTAGGGAGGAGGAAGCTTAGGGAGTTCATGAGCATTATGTATGTAATGAGCAGCTTAGAGTGCATGGCCTTATTCTTCTACTCCAGGAGTTCATATGACAGTATATCCATTTACATGGAATATCAGGTTATTCCCTTTTGCATAATATTTTAATACCCCACCACCAGCGCAATGCAAGTGACTTTTAAAATTGGACACAAATACGGGAAGGATACTTAGGGGACATTGGTGGCACGAAAACCACAGAACTGGAGTAATAGACACAAAAATAAGTTAATGAGATTCTAGGATGAAAGAAGGAGAGTTCTCTCAGGAAGCAAGAGGCTGAACAATAAACTATAGAAACGATCCTCCAAAAACAACAATAACAATAATAATGGAAATAGAGAGGGAACATTTAAAGTCTGAGAAAGGGAGGTGAGTGGGGAGGGATGTACCTACTCTAAGATCAATGTAAATTTTATTTACTTCGAACACATTCTAATAAAACTAAATAATAATTTAAAAAGGCTGCACAAAAGGCCATTTTCAAGCATACAGAAATTTTGTCTCGTAGACACAAAGAGTCACTGTTTTAATCAAGAAGTCTCAGATTTACATATTAGAAAGTCCATTCTCAAGATTAGTAACAGAGGTCAGTTAACTTTTCCTTTTAAGAACAAGTTAATATTTTTATGACTTTTTTGACCATTTGACTTCTGCAGCAACTACTTAATTATATTGTTCTAGTCTAAAAGCAACCAAAGATAACATGTGAACTAAGGGGCATCCTTACATTACAAGAAAATTCTATTTTCCAAAGCGTATGCCAAATCCTGGGTCAGGATAAATGCAAGAATATCAGAATTCTGCTGCAAAAACACAGGCAAAAGTTGAGGAGAACTTGAACCTATCCAAAAACAGTGGAATTGGAAGGAGAGGAAAAGAATTAGAAACTTTAATTGCTAATGGTACACAGAGACATGAGAGATTAGAATGAACAGAGAAATGGATCTTGGCTTTACCTAAAATGGGTTTTGACAGAGCTATTTAGATTGAATTGGACACTAGCATCATTACATAGTTTGAAAATGATCAGAAATTGGTAGTTTTGTAATGGTTTGATATGTTTCAAACTAGTAGAAATTCTGTAAGTCTAAGATTAGAAAAACTATTCTTATACAGAAAATAGCAAATGTACCTTAAACACATGGTCACCAAAAGCACCTGAAATTAAAAAAAAAAAATTAGAGGATTGATTAAAACAATGCAGCATTGAAGTGTGAACATCTAATTTTTCCATTAAATAATCATATAAATTAATAGCAGTGAAATTTGTGGAAAAATGATACCTTCATGTAAGTTTGTGTAGCCATATTCAATTCTCAAATATTGTTTCTTTCTCTCCTCATGCCTGGGATCCTTAACAGCCTCTCTGGAAATTCACCATTACCCATTTCTAGTTTAATCCTGAATTTAGACAGGAAGGAATTATATTTAAGCTTCATCTTCCCCACATCAGCAATATTATCCATTGATGGGCCACTCAGACATAGTGTAGACCTATTTTCGGGGAAAGTCTAGTTTTTCATAGTCATCCTAGCTTCCTACTAATATATAGTTATCTGCCTTCCTTTCTGATTATAGTCTATTTTGAATGTGCCTTTTTTCTAAATTATGCCTGCTTATAAGGAAGTCTTTTATATTTAGAATATTATGTTAACATTTTCTTACCCGAGCTATTGAGAGTTCACTTTACCTTCATATTTTATATCCTGCTTAAGTTATCTCAGCCACTATACCTGAACCTTCTCTGTGCATTTGCATCTGCCTGTGCCATTTACCTAGTGGACTGAATTTTACATCATGGACTTCAGTTGTTGCTATCACTTTGCTAGAGTGAGTTAGGAAGCACTGAGCCTTCTCTTAAGGATTCATGACACCTACTGGTAGTTTAATAGTAAGCCGTCTCAAAAACTGACACAACCTTGTGTAGAATGCATTTGTGTGTACACTCATACACGCATGTAGTATCAATGTCTGAAAAAGTGTGGAAGAGGAAATGAGGAAGAAGGGGTGGGCTCAGAGTTTATTCTTTAACAGAGAAGGTCAAATTATTTGCTAGATGTTGACTGTAATTCTCATAGATAATTTTTGAATATCTGAACTCTGAAACTGTCTATGACAGAGTTCTTAGAATATTAATCAAGTGAATCACTGATACTTATTCTAGTTGAGATAGCAAATTCTTTAACTCTGAGAAAAAACTAAGTTTTGAGAATTCCTACATCTAAACAGCAGTTATTATTGCCTAGCTTCCACCCCAGAAAGATCAAATGTTCTCTCCTTCCCCCAAATTTTTGTAAATCCTTACATGAGAAATAGCCAGCAGCTAGAATGGCCAGGAAGAAGTTTTTCCTCTTTTCCATGAGGCACAATATGATTCATCTACCTTGTCCCTTTCATCAAGTGTTTAATATGCCCAGAGTTCCTGAGTAACCAAGGGCAACAGTCCTATTATGAGAGCCTCAGATTCCATTTTGAAGTCACTAGGAAGTGATGTATTTACATGTGACACCACGGGCAAAGTCACAAGGCATCAGAGATCAAGACGACTTTCAGAATATGTTTTATTTTTAACAGGCTATGAAACTATGCTAAGTAGCACACTTTAATATTGTTTTTGATTATTATTCAGTCTCATAGAAGTGTATTCTATTCTTTAACTATCAAGAGGAAACAAATGTGAAAAATATTTACAGAATAAATTCTAGAGGTTTTTCAAAATGTATGTTTTCCCCTATTTCTGCTTCCTTCAACACTGAGATTTTGATTCAGTAATCTAGAATATAGAACTGATAGAATAAGGAAAAAAACATTTTACACTTCAGAGCTGAGTCTCTATATGGTTCCCTCTTAATTTTCCAAAAGGAATTGTTCTGTCTTGTTAAAGTCACACTTTTAGCCCTTGTTATTATCTTACATGTGTCTACCTGCCTAGACACAGAACTTACCATCTTATATGTAGCACAAAACATTAAAGAAATAATCAGAGCCATTCAACACTGCAGGCTATTATGTGTTACTCTGTTAAAACATCGGGTTTGAATAACAGGGATGTGATCTGGAGATCACATAAAATCAGCAATTGTATATAATTTAGGCAAAAATAAGAAAAAGTCATGTCTAACCCTAAAGGGAAGGAATCTGCAAAATAAGATGTGTTCTCAGATTTCCCAGGGACACTAGGTTCTTCTCAGGGACACAGTCTGAATAATAGAGATGAAATGCCTTAGAATAGACAGTGTTTTCTGTAAAGCAGTGGAATCAAAAGAAAGATGAGCCAAGAAGCTTAGATTCTCTCTCTTTCCCAGTTCTTATTAGGATGAGTAAGTCCTGCTGCATTTCAGGACTTCAGGTTCATTTTGGCTCAAGTTTCAGTTCATGATCTTCCAGCTCCAAAGAAGAAACAGCATGGCAGATGAGCAAGGGCAGGAAAAGCTGCCCACACAATGAGGTCAAGGAGGAGAAGGAGAAGGGCCGATACAGGGAGGAAGACAGGGCTTTACGGTTCATACTCCCAGGTACCTGTGTTTTCTAAGACCACTCCACTTAACAGCAAGTTAGCTACAGTGACTCCATGGTCCAATCACCTTCCAGAATCCTTATTTATCTGCATATTGAAGAAATGTTGACCTAACTGCAGCCATTTTGTTCAGAAAAGTTACAGTCATTCTGTTCTCTGCCACTGAACTCAGATAAATCAAATGGTTTGTCATCTTTGACAAATATTTGAAACTTCGGGGAATGTACTAAACGCAACTTTGTTACATACAACTGCTCACCAGAAAATACTCCTTGTACCATAACCTTCAGCTGAAAGCTTATCTCATTCTGGTTACTCTTGTTTACCAACCTGTAAATGAGACAAGCTCTGTAATCACACCAAATTTTGAAGATTATTTCTTGGGGGTGTGCTAGTGTCAATAAAATTTCTTTTCTTTTCCTGAGCTCCTGGCTACTGTGATTCCATTTTCAAGCAACAATGAGTCTTCTGGGAGATACCTAGGTTAAAAACCTCACAGATACCTGAATCTCTCATCTTTGAAGCTTGTCTTTGCTGCTTTTTCTCATTGCTGAGACACAATGTCCAAAAACTCCACATAAAGGGCAGGTTTATTTGGGCTTCCAATTGTATTTCATGATCAGCTGGTTCTAGTGCAGGAACAGACAGACAGGGCAGACAGGACTAGCAGAAAACTGCTCACATCTTGGCAGCCAGGATGCAGCAAGTAAAGAGAGAAGTGAGGGAAGGAGACACACCCCTTGTTTCCAACTGAAATCTCCTGAGACTGGTCTTTGCTACCTGCGCTATTACCAGCATTCTGCTTTCATGAGTTTTGGCCACGATCTCCCATGGTGCAAAGCTTACAGCACTCTAGGGCTTCCTCAGCTGTCATCTTCAAATCTTTCCAAATTCCTCCTATGAACAGATTCCAAAAGCTTCTAACCCAAATGGTCAGGTAATGTCTTAGTTGCTTTCTTATTGCTAGGACAAGATACCGGACATCAAGGAGGAGACATTTATTCTGATTTATAGTTTGTATATGATTTAGTCCATAATTGATGGAATCCAAGGGCAGAGGGGCATGGCTCCAGTAGGGAGATACACCATTTCAGGCCATGTCCTCAGTAACACCTCCTCCCACCAGATGGTATCTCCATGATCCAGTCACCACCCAAAGCCCCACTTATGAGCACATGAAGCTTTGGGAGTACATTCTCAATATATAAACCATAACATTTCACCCAAGTCACCAAAAAGAAGATTCACATGCATCCCTTTATACATAATTCATTTAGTCTATTTTTAAGAGTTGCCAATATCCAGTAGTCTCCCATCCAAGTATACAATGGAGTACTGCTTAGCTATAAAGAGTGATCATATTGAGTAAGTGGATGCTACTTGAGACCATACTATAAGTGAAATATATCAAACTCACACGAGTAAATACAGTATTGTCTCCCTAGTGTAAGAAATGGAAAGAATACATAAGATACAAGATTCTCAATAAGTACAGTGAAAGGGTAAGAATCTTCTCAAAGGGGAAAAGTAATATCTCAGGGAAAATGAGCAAAAAAAAGGAAGGGAAAAGAAAAAATCTCTAAATTTGTATAAACACACAGGATAGCTAAGATGATTGTGTTACAAATTCTGTAAGTTTGTAGAATAAAGCAGTTAATATTCATAGGATTGGAACAGTTTTGCATGTTTGTGTCTGGTAACCTGAGGAACTCTTGAAGATCACTATGTAAAATATCAACCTTAGTTCTATTCCTTCCACCGTGTTTTGAAAGCCTGTATCGTCATTGTTTTGGGACCTTTTGGGTTTGCTATTGTTACTTATTTGTCTTTTTTGTTTCTTATTTTTCTAGTAATCTGTTTTGCTTTGTTTAGTTTTGCTTTGATTTTGCTCTAATGGAAAAAGGATAGGCATACATGTAGAGGCTCATACATGCCTAGAACTTCTCCTTTTAAACAGTTTATGAGAATTGATTGTATTATTTGGGATGAAATGAACAGCTACTTTGAAGCAAAACAGACATTATGATATCCATTGCTGATCCCGTATTGTCATGCTATCAAATCCAGTAATTGTTTTATTCTTTGTTCAGAGTGGTTTTAGTCTGTTTTGTATTGTTTAATTTCAACATACATGAAGGTATGGGGAGCTATTTTGAAGAGAACAAGAGACATTACAATAGCCTTTGTTGACTTTCCTATTGTCTGGTTTTGAAGGCTTTTAATGCCTTCATCACTCTATTCTGATCAGTTTAATACTATTTTGTTCTGTATAAATTCATTGTGTCTGAAGATATGGACAACTATTTAGAAGAAAACAAGAGACATTATGGTAGCCATTGTAGATCTCCTGTTGTCTTGCTTTTAAATCTGTGTCACATTGTTTTGCTTCTGATTTGCTTTGTTCTGTTTAGTTTTACCCATTTTAACATTTAAAAAAATATCCAGTAGTTTTGGCATTGCTGGAAAGTCCAAGTCCAAAGTCTCCTCTGAGACTTAAGGCAAAGTATTATCTGTGAGCCCCTGTAAAAATGAAAAGAAAGTTAAGTACTTCAAACATACTGTAGCACAGGATAAACGTCCATTCTAAGAAGAAAGAACAGAACCAAAGTTAAGACTGAAATCCAGCAAGACAAATATTAAAGCCTATAATTCCATGCTTACTATGTGGACAAATGGTGGTGAGATGTGCATTTGAAAGGGTTTGGGTGAAACTACCTTATGATCTCATGGCTTTTTTCAGGGGCTGGTTTTGTTCACTCCTTATGGTTCTTCTCAGATGCTCTATGTTCCTGGCTTCTCCAAATTCCTGCGGTCTCTATTGTGCTGTAAGCTTCACATTCACAGCTTCACACATTCTCCTCTCAGGGCACACGGTCTGGCCTCCCAGGCCATCTTCTGAAATCTAGGTGGAAACTATTCTGACCCCTCAACTCTTGCATTCCATGTACCTGTAAAACCAACACTATGTGGATGATGCCTGAAAGGTTCTTGCTCTAATATAAAAAAACTACAATTATGGCAGTGCTCTAACATGGTGGAAGGCCAAAGCGAGAATGCTTACGCCTTCCTCTTTCTTCTTCAGCCCTAACTCCAACTGGTCTTCCTGCTTGCACACAAAGAAAATTCCAATCAGTTCCTCATACATCATCAGTATCGGCCCCATGCACCACTTCCAATCAGAGATCATATAACCCTCTTCTCATCCTGTGGAAGCAGACAGCCCAACCGCCATGGGTTGTGTGCTCCTTTCCATGTCCTCAATAAACCTGTTCTTACCTTTTTGTACTTTTTGTTTCTATATTGCGCCAGAAAACTCTAACAATGCCAATGTCTGTCACCACCTAAGCAGTAGTTCAGTCTTTTTGCATCCTGTAGGTGGTTTGGCTTCTGAGTTCCTGGGTAGCTAAGCATGATGTACTTAATTGTGGGGAAACAATTTCTTTGAAGTCCTATCTCCCATTGAAAATCTCCTATCAAGCTCAGCTTATAACATCTTAGTTCTTCTCTAGCAGATACCACCAAATCTTCCCAAAAACCTTCAGTGAACACATTTCAAAGGCTTCTAAATCACATAGTCAGGTATTCACAGCAACAGCCCCACTTTTGGTAACAAAAATAAGTCTCAATGACTTCCCTTATTGCTCAGACACAGTGCCTGATATTTGCAATTTAAAGAAGACATTTATTCGGGTTCATGGTTAGTTAGATTAAAGGTAGGAACCACGTGACAGAGGAGCACAGCAGAAGAAAGCTGTGGTGGCCAAAAGCTGAAAGTGAAGCAGGGAGGGTAATGTCTAGGTCATGTCCACATTCACCTCCTCCCTCAGTCAGACCCCACCTCCTTGCAGCAAGTTAGCCCATGAGCCAATCCTTTTCCTTTTAAAGCCCTATGCGTCA